TTTGGCCAATAAATGGCCCGTGCATGTGTGTAGCTGCAGTGCAGCACAGGTAGCGAGGAGCACAGCCCAGCAACATGGAGAGTTGCTCCTCCAGCTGCTAAGTCTGATGTGGTGGAAGGGGCTGAAGGGGGAAGATCAAGACCCCCCACAGTGAGGGGGGATGTGGGGCAGGGGCTGGGGCTCCTGCCACTCATCTGGGGTGGGGGGTGCCCCTGGATCTTCATGGGCCAGGCTGGGGCAGGGGCTGCACCAACCTCTTCCTAGCAGGGCTGTGCTGGGAAAGGACTATGTGGGGGGAAAGGGGGCTGCAGTGATAAATTCACTGTAGCCCCTTCCCAGCTCAGCCCTGCTGGGAAAAGCTTGGCACATCCCCAGTCCCAGCCCACCCCCAATAGATCTGGGGGCATACGCCCTCCTGGACAAGTGGCAGGAGCAGTGGCGGGAGCCACCGGACAAGCAGGTGAGTGCCTAATGAGCCACCAAACCAGTGGCTCCCAGCTGAGCAGTGTGCAGCAGCCAGAGCTGCCTCCCCACTCCCTGCACCCCTCCCAGCACTTACCCCAGCCCCTGTCCCAGCCCCACACCCTCCATCACCACAGGGGCCTTGATCTCCCCCCCCCCCGCTGCTCCTCCAGAATTACCATTTGGAGTCAGCTCTCAATGCTGCCGGGCTGGGTATTGGAAATTGGATCAGTATCAACCAATATGCCTCCTTAAAAATTGGCTATCAGTATCGGCTGCAAAAATCTCTATCAGTGCATTCCTACAGAACAGTATTCCCTGCTTCTTCCCCTTATAGGTTTTCCATCACCTACTGAAATGTGGAACATATTCCAAAAGCAAGATGCTCCCTTATTTGCATGAGGGGTCATTTTGGAATTTTACATATGTCATTAAGGCTGTCATTTTCCTTTTCAGGGCCCCATTCATTTTGTAGTCAATTAAAGTGTTGTATGACACCTTCCAACCAGAAGAATTGTGGCAGCCTCTGAAAACAATGTCACAAGATTTTTCCTGGATGCTTAAGTATTATTTCTAGTCAATGCTTGTCAAAATGTGCAGTGTGAACCTCCAAGAAGTCACTCATGGTTGCACTGTTCTGTAGTCCAGGTTTCCCACCATGTCTCAAGTGAGAACACTTTCTCCGCTCCGAGGTTTTGTTTCAGATCTTGCTTAGCTGATAGAATCAGAATGGCTTCATCTTCAGTGCTCTAGGCGGATACACTTTAAATGGGGTGTAGTTGCAGAGAGAGAGAATGATAGTTTTTATTAACACTCTTTACAACACAGAAAATACAGAGAATCGGCAAAACTAAAATAAAGTCAACTGTTACCATAAAACAAATTTGCTTCAAAAAGTGGTTTCTGCTTTGGAAATGGCTGTAGTGTAGAGGAGAAGATTACATGCTTTTGTAAAATATGGGTTGTGAATTTCTAGGAAACGCTGCAATAGGGATCCTAGGGTCCTACTACAACCATGTGGAGGGTTTGATGATTAGGGCAGAGACTGAAGCACAGAACACCTGTGTTATCTTTCTGGCTTTATTGCTGACCTTAATACCATTTCTTTTTTTTGCTTCTCTTTCCCCCTCCCCATTTGTTGTTGTTGTTCTTCACCTCCTTGATTCAGGTAGTTCATTCTTTACTTTAGAGAATGTCCACTGTATGTACAGTGCCAGAACAATGGGGGTCTCTGTATTAGTGTATTACAAAGTTATGCTTTTTTTTCTTCCAGTCACTTGAATTGAATATTCACTTCTTTTCCTTTCCTTCCTCCCAACTTTTCTGAGAGTAACGTTTTCTGAATGCTTCTCTATCTATCCTAATGAGTCAATATAAAAAGCCCCCTATTTGGGGTATAAACTATTTTTATGAGGTCCTGTAATGGTCCCTCCATATTTGCTCAGTGGAAAAGTGTATTTTCAAGACCCAGAATTTGATTTAAAAACTATTGGCAACCAGCCTAAATTGGTATATTTATCTCAGGTTTCTCAGCTGAACATTGAGTTGTCTGAAATGAGACAAGTAAGAAACCAGTTCTCTCTTTCCTACTGTAGTGGGCAATGCTGGTAGATCTGACAGGTAGAAAGGTGATGACATCAGCTACTAGTTTGTGAGGATAAGAGGGTATTGATTTCTGGCAAACACATTACAGCATACGGCAAACATTCATAAAGGCTGCAGAGAGGTCTAAATAATGTTCAGCAGCGGAAATAAAAAATAAAATTGATTTAACATATTTTCATAAAACAACACTCCCTTCCCCCCACTCTTGTCTGGTGCTTAGTCTCCATCTAGGCAACCCACAAAAGAGCTGAAAGTGCTAGTTGTACTAATTGCTTGGAATTTTGGCAGACCGGAGGGGATGCCACTCATGTTTGCCTGCCTGGACATTTATAACTTGCAGCTGTGTTGTCCAGCACTAACTCAATGTGGTAAACCAATCTGGGCTGGGAAAGTAAAGTTCCTTCTCCTCATTCCCTCCCGTCAGCACCACCTTGCACCATACATGCACACATGCAATGTGTTGGCAGAGTAATAAGAGAGAGACTGCTTTGCGCAAGCCAGGATTTTCTTTAACTGTTAAGCAAGTGGAAAAAATGAAATCACAGTTGTATGTTGTTCTCTGTCAAAGTTAAACCATTGTTAGCATTTTAAATAATAATAATGCTTGATATTTTTCAAACTACTTTGTAGGCATTAATTACTCCTTTTAGCATCCTGCTATGATAACATTTATCCTCATTTTATATGTTGAGACTTAGGTGCTGACTCTTATTTTTGCTGTGGGAAGGGCCTAAGATGATGGACACATGGAAAGTTTTACATATTTCAGGTGACAGCCCTCTTCCAGAGGGGGGCCAGGGCCCTCGGGCCCCAATGTACTCAGCACCTCTGGGAGAAACTGAGTGTTAATTCGCTTGGTTGAATCTCTAAAGGAAGCTGGCTTTAGTCTTGAGAGCTTCCAGCTCTTTTATTCTCATTCCATCAATACTTTTTTCTTTCACTCTCATCTGAACAATGATAGCATGGTTAAATTAAAATTAGGAGCTCTGTTGGTGTGGCCCTAGTTTGGCTTACTTTACTTGGTATCATATTTATGTGAATCCAAGACGAGTTTTTCCCCCCCTAATCAACATGGGGCAGAGAAACCTCATCTTAGGTTCAAGTACCAGCCTGGGGCAGGTGATGGCTCAGCTGCAGCTTTAGCCCTGGGCTTAGGGCTGAAGCCAGAGCTGAGCCATCACTTTCCCCAGGATGGACTAGCTTGTGCAGCATAGGAAAGTAGGTCGAAAGAGTGGGGGAGGGTAGAGGAGACCATGTTGTGGGGGTTTAGGGAGCACATGGGGAGGAGATTGTGCAGTGGAGGGAGTGTTGATTGTCTTTCACCTTGTTCAAGTCTATAAAACCCATTACTGCATCTACCTGCCAATACCTTACTTTCTAGCCTGTCATAAACTAACACAGCTAACTACCTTTGTCTGATAAAAGAAGAATCCAGGAGGTAGTGGACCTTGTTACCTTTGTATCAACAGTTTTTCAAGTAATTGATCTGGGTGTAATATGCACATTTTGGGCCTAAGTCCACTTATGCACCAACAGAATAGAATCTTTCTCTTGTCCCCTTTGCCTTACCTTTCTAAAGGGACCTCTGAAATAGTCTTTAAACAATTTTGATAGAAACATTTTTCTTTTCCTTTGTTATGGATCACTTCACAAGGAAACAACCTTCTTCTGGCTCTTTTACTAATCTCTTTTAATTACAACCCACTGCATCTCTTCTGGCATTTTTTATCAGTTCTGGTTCATGTATGTGCCCTGAAAATTATAGATGAAGAGCCGGTATTGCAAAGAGCTCTTTTGATTCAGCCTAAAGGATTTAGACTCTCTTATGGGGTCTTGGTTTCAATGAGATTACAAGTATGCATCTTTGTGGACTTTTCTGTCCCACTGTATAACCGCACCAGGGAGACGCTCTCTCATTTTACAATACTCTCTAGTTCTCTAAGTTCTCTATTTTTTCTTCTCCCCCACAACTAGTAATGACTAAGATCACTACTGAATGGATCAAATTTGTTTTGGCTTGATATAAGAGGAACTTAAGTATGCATGCATTGGCTAAAACATTGCTGACTTACATTGCTCCCCATTAAAATCTGTGCAACTGCTGTTTGCAGGTAATTAACATTGCAGTGGTATTCCTTATATTTCTGGTAGCATTAATCTGGTGAAAAGTTAAATTGTAAAAAAGTTAATGGTGACCTCTGTTTGTGAAATTAATTTTAAGTGTTTTGATTTAACTAACGTGCATTAACTCATATGTATGGTTTCTAAGGAGTGCTGAGTTGATGCTGTTTCCTGTAGGCTTTACATTTTGAGGAGATGGTGGAGAAGGTAATTTAAAAGTGGTCTTAGCATCATTCACAGTGCTGTTTTTATTTGCAGGTGTTGCTTAAAGTTGATAATGTGCACATATATGCATGTGTGTCCATGCCAACAGTCTTAAATGTGAACTGCAAAAGACCCACTAACTAATCATAACCAGTAAAGTACTTGCCAACTGGTCAAAGTGCAATGTTGGAAGTGGCTGTTGCAGCTCCCCTTATGCAGGGTTGGGGGGCAGAGGGAGGGGGAGAGAGACAGCAAAGGCTTTGTATATACTCAGCTAAAAATATTGGCCTCTCCTTATCATAGTGACTATCAGCTTCACAGGCTGGAGATTACTTCATACTTTTCTTCAGCAAAATATGGCAAGCTGGATAAATCAGTTTCCCTTAGTTCATGTAAAAGTGCTGGCAGCATAGCAAATTGTTAAATAAAAACATGGATCACCTGCATACAAAGGTGAAGTGTAACTTATTCCCAAATTTATTTCCTTCTCCTCTCCTGTCTTGCAAAAGGAGAAGGAAATAAACTCTATCTTTCTGTTTGCTTCCCCAATGACAACTTACTTTTACTTTGTGTAAAAATTTGCTTTTCCTCTCCTTTATTTTTTGCAGGCAGAGCACAAAGAATTTTCAGTACAAGATCCATTTGTCATCAAGTTACGTGTCTTGCCAACAGCATCCAGCAAGTGACTCAAAGCAGACAAATAGTTTATTTCTATATACTGAGCTGCCCAAAGGTAAAACTTTTTCATTGTCTTTTCAAAGAAGTTATGAAAGCTCCTGGGTTATGTTGCCACATACGTTTTGAATTCCCATCTAAGTAGTGCATTTCCACACAGGAACATGCAGGCCAAATTTTGTTTCTGGCTGCAGTGTTGTGGCAGTAGTGCTGATTTCCAGTACTTAGAAGCAAGGGGAAAAAAACAAAGCTTTTAAGATTTTGACAGGTTTTGACAAGCTGAAGTACTGCGTCCGGTTTTGGGCTCCACAGTTCAAAAAGGATGTGGAGAAGCTTGAGAGAGTCCAGAGAAGAGCCACACGCATGATCAGAGGTCAGGAAAACACCTTATGATGAGAGGCTGGGAGCCATGGGACTCTTCAGCTTGGAAAAGCGCAGGCTCAGGGGCGATCTGGTGGCCACCTATAAGTTTACCAGAGGTGTTCACCAGGATCTGGGGGAACGTCTGTTCACCAGAGCGTCTCAAGGGATGACAAGATTGAATGGTCACAAACTCCGTCGCAACCGATTCAAGCTGGACATAAGGAAGAACTTCTTTACGGTCCAAGCCCGCAAGGTTTGAAATAGACTGCCACTGGAGGTGATTCAAGCACCCACTTTGAACACCTTCAAGACACATTTGGATGCTTATCTTGCTGGGATCCTATGATCCCTGCTGACTTCCTGCCCCTGGGGCAGAGAGCTGGACTCAATGATCCTCCAGGGTCCCTTCCAGCCCAAATGTCTATGAATCTATGTATGATTGAATCAATGGCAGAAAAGTAGCCCTGCGTTCAGCCGCTCACTAAACCATGATTAGAATGGTGATATGTGTACATGCCAATCCTGGGATATTTTTGTCTCAGGATAAACACAGGCACAACTTACCCATGGACAAATGCAGTGTCTCTTTTTAGCCTCAGATACTGATGGAAGGTCTGCTCCTCTCAGGTACTGAACAATGTCAGTGAGATCCTGTGGATGTCAGTAGATATTGAAATGTGTTCAGCATCTTGCAAGATTTAACCTTAAAGGGGGAAGCAACAGTGTGCGTGGAAGGCTTGGCAGTAGGTAGCCTGATTTTTATTCTGTGCTCTTCTACCAGTTCACTGTGCAAAGCTTTGTTTTCCTCTCAGTAATATTTCTGTATCTGGACATGCCTACCCAGAACATTCTATAGAAGACCCTACTACTACATAACATCTGGTCATTGATAGAGCAGGTTAAAGAGATTGAGCAATTTGTTAATTATGTGGGAGCCCCAGGGAAGGTCCAAACAAATCTGCCAATAGCTATAAGAAATATCATCCCCTGAGAATTAAAGAATTGCTTGTTGCTGCATTGCTTGTAGGCCCCCCTGGACTGTGCTACTTATCTGTGCAGAGGTCTCATCAACTGGAATAGGATTTGTGTGACAGCTTCAAACTAATTGGTTATGGTAATAGATTCTAATGAAAGAACAGGGTTTTTGAGACAGATGCACATGCACACACATATGCACACGTCCCTTCTTATACGTGCCCCAGCTGTGGAGCCGAAAGAGTGAGTGTTCGGTGATGCTTATGTATGATTTGTATTGATTTGATGATTTTCAGGATTTCAAATCGTGTTATCTAAAATTATCAATCTGCTTCAGGAGGTTAAAATCACAAGAATTCTGAAATGGGGTAATGAATAGGTAAAGAACACTCTACATGTATCCAGTTAATTGCTCTCTCTCTAAAGTATTCATTCCTGCCACTATCAGAGACAGGATGCCGGGTTAGATGGACCACTGGTCTGCTCCAGTATGGCATGTATGTTTTTAACCAGAGCTTCCTTTAAAATAAATGAGCTGTATGGCTTTAGCTCTTGTCCTTTTTCTCAAACTGCCTGATTTCTTACTTGCTTAGTGCAGTACACAGCAGGTGCCAGAAATCCAGTAAATCATAGATTTTCTGTGTAAAACACCTGTTGGGATGTAGGACATGCATATTATCAGCAGTTATTTTTTATGGGTTGTGCAACATTTTTAATTGTTTTGCTGCCCTCTGCTCTGGGCCAAAAGAAGAATGCATTTAGGAAATGGCATCTATTCTTCTTCTATATTCTTTACTGTAGGTCAGATTCTGTTCCCGCCAGAATTCCCAACCAGGCAGTAGTTCATATTAGCACTTACAATAGTATTTGGCACCTGTGTAGCATTTCATGTAGCCCAGGCTATGGCTTTCTGGAATTAAAGAAAAGCTTTCTATCTCCTGTTCTCCAGGCTACCCTAGGAATGAGTGCCAGTCCAATCATAAACATTCCTTCTCCTATACTGCATTTTGCTTCCACACTGTCTCTTTGGTGATAAGAATAGAACATGGAATTATGCATTTATAACTTCTTAGTTATTTGTGCTACATCTTTAGGACCCAGTATTGTGCCATGTACCAACACTTAATAAGTCTTTGCATCCAGATGCTTACCTTCTCAATAGGTAGGTTCAGGCAAAAGCTGGGAGAGGAATCAGAGAAGCAGATAAGTCTTACAGAAGATCAGTGTCAGACCCAAGAATATAACTCAGATCTTACATTTTCCAGTGCTTTAATCTTTAGACCAGTGTCTGGGCATAGTGACTATAGAACTGTTTCTTTGTCATATCTGGAAAAAGCCTTTTGTACCCGCCATTAGACCAACTCCCCTACCTTATTGTGCTTTTGTTGTTGTCAATTACTGATTTATGTCAGGGGTCGGCAACGTTTTTGGGCAGAGTGCCAAAAACACCCCAACCTCGACTAATAAGATGTTGGTATGCTGGGGCAGATGACGGGGAGCAACAAAGAGTGGGATCATTGTTTTGCCAGTATAGCCCTGGCCCCTTCCCCACCTGGAGGTACACGTGCACCTGCCACCAGCAGTGAGCTGAGCCAGGGCTCTGGAGACCTTAGTGCAGTGGCTTGCAGCCTCCCCACTGCCTGTTGCAAGCAGCCCAGGATCAGTGGAATTTACAAACTAATGTACTGAATGATGAGGCAAAGCTGCCTTCTACCTAGAAGCTTAATTTGTCTGGCTTGTAAAATTATCATAAAGGCTCAGGAACAAAATCTTTCTGCTTACCTTCATGGGGAGGAACTTCATATTGAAGATAGAAATTTCCTACTGTGCGCTGTTAGACAAAACATATTTGCAAGGCTGCTCTGTGGAAGGATCAACTTACTTGTAAATGGAAATTAGTAAATAGAGATAGAGGTGGAAGAGCATTATGTCTAGGGTCAAGAGACCTGGATTTGTGTCTCCTACTGGCTTGCTGGCTGATCTTGGACAAGTTGTTTCACCTCTCTACCCAAGTTTCCCTATCTATAAAGACATCAAGATCCTTTGTAAAGTGCTCAGAGATCCACAAATAAAAATATTATTAGACTGATATTTATTAAGGTGCAAGGGAAGTTTAGCCAGGATTTGAAGAATCACTTCAAAAACAGGCAAAATCATACTCTTGCCCCTAATTCTAGGATCTTCCTCTGCCTGTGTGTGGTCTTGTGGTCCTGGTACATGGGAGGTACTTAGTAGCACATGATTTTCAGTACTTCAGTTTGTGAAAGCAGGGCCTCCCGGACTGGGGCTGACGCTGCATGTGAGCAGTGTTCTCCTGAGTATAAATACATCATGTTAAAAAAAGGAAAAGCATTGCAAGGGGCATGCTCGCTAGTGTGTTGATCCTCCTCTTGGAACTGTGGGCAATGATTCCTTTCTCCTGAGATCATCGCTCCAGGGTGATTTAAGGATACTGTGTACCTCCTGCCAGCTAGATATCAACCCTCAGAGTAACAAGCTGGCCTTATGGGAATATCTGCTCTGCCAAGAGAGACATTCCTACAAGGTTTATCATACTACTTGTTTGATTTCTTACCTAACCTATACTTTAAAAAATAAAACAGTCTCCTAAAGGAGCCTTTTTTTTTTTTTTTTAAGTTCTGCCATTTTGCCTAACAGGAAAATGGACTTGAGTAAGTCTTAGCTAGGGGGATGGGGTAGGGTGGGGATGTTAATTGATGCAACTCCACAAAAAGACCAGTGTGCGATAAATAGGGTGTTGTATCCAGTCATTTGTAAGAAATGCTACTCTTTGGAAAGCAGCAACATTTAACAGTCACTAGTGCCTGCACTATGCATATCGCTAGTACCCAGTGGTTAAAACAGTCATGCATGTTCTCTCTTCGTGACAGTAAAAAGAAATCTAGTGGGATTTTCCTCCATCTCTAATCTGCCTTTTATTTAAGGTTGCCTTTCACCATGATATCAAACCACAGGTGCTGACTTTTGTTTTTGCCGGGGGGATGACGCTAAGATATGGAAAGTGTTACACATTACAGTGACAGCCCTCATCCCAAGGGGTTCCAGGGCCCTCAGGTCCGCACATATTCAGCACCTCTGTATCAGACCAAATGTTATTGCGTTTGTAAAATGGGTGACTCTGCTCCAGAAAGCGTATGTGGAGATGTTATTGCTCTGTCTGTAATGTATGGTGGTTAAGGTACATGTGCTTAGGACAAAAAAAGAGACAGTGCATTTTTTTTCTTTCGAAATCCAGAGAGAGAATCCAATTCTAAGATTGCAGCCACCATTTGTATTTCCCAAACTGTTTCAAAGATAGGCCTGTTGCTCCTTGTCTTCTTTCATCCCATAGGACTAATTTTGCAAATATAAAGCCACTTCATTGCAACTTGAAAGGCTATACTGTCTAGGGAAACTAGCTGTGAGAATTGTCTGGAGAAAATAAATTATTAAGTTGTAGAGTTGCAAAGGTACAAAGGGATCTAGGCACCTAACTGCCTTTCAGTGGGTCATCTACAGGAGACATTTACTGCAGTTGCCTGATTAGCTGCGCGGTAAATTCTGTGTCTACATGTGCATCCCTATTAGGGCACAGTAAAGTAATAAACATTGCCATAGTACACAAGTACTATCCTATGGTGGCATTTTTTAATGTGCTGCAGAGCACATGTAGATGCACAGGGGTGGCTGGGTCATGAGGATACTTCAGTGTGGGGGCTG